TTTAAGGGTTGGGGGTCTTATAAGGAAGTCGAAAGGGATGGCAAGGTTCTACAGCGAATAGTGAGTTATTTTCTCAAGAGAATCACTGAAAGCATGAGAGTGGCAGCATAAAAAAGAGACCAATTTGGGTAAGGCGTGAAGTCTGGAGTATTGAAGTATAACAGTTCCTTCCAAGAAAAAGGTGCTAAAAAGGGAGGTCGTCAACCAGTCTGTCAGAGCGAAAAGCGGAGCTAAATGCTATTATTGCCTCCCATCTCAAACTGATTGCTTTAGAGGCTCTTTAATGTCGGCGATATTCGTGAAAGGCCAACGTCCGGTGGATTTAACCAGCTGCATCGATAGCGGAATCTTTTAGAACGTATCGCAATCAGTATTCCAGCGCGACATCGACGTTCTTTTGAACGAAGAACGGCGTGCTTTCGCAGAATCGGGTCGTTGGTGGCACCCGAGTGACTGATTAGAAACGAAATCATGCCCTACCCAATCCTTCAGTGTTCGTGGTGATGAGATGCTTGAGAACGGAAGCAGGTTTGTGGAGTCGGTTTGACGTAACGGCTTCATCAATGTCGTCGTCATCTACCCATTCTCATGGAATTGAACGACTTCTGAGATGATGTATGTGCTCGACCTTGTTCCTCGTTCACAACTTCATTCATCACTCTCTCACTAAATCTCTTCTCGTACGCCTTACATCACTCGGCGGCTCATGGCTATTTACCTGACACGAATCAGGCATAATTGTCACCTAATTGCGCCGTTTGACCTAGTTCCCTCGATCGTCTCCAGTTGCTCTGGGTGGCTATCGGTCGGCGAACAAAGCTCGGATTACCTCATTAGACGGGGCCGTGACGTTCGCTACAACAACTAGCAAGCGCTGAGTCGCTAAGTGTTTTGTGGGCCCCAAAGGAGAGCGCACTCGAATCCGCTTCGTGCGCTAGGCAATTTACTTGGCGGCACTGCGGCCGTTTCCGTTTGAGTGCGGACGTCAACGAACCTCTCTCACACCGTGATTCGAGCAGTTTTTTGGTGATTCCTCGTCGAAAAGCAGTACCCACCACATCGGCGGCGGTGGCGGCGGCGGCGGTTGCTCGAAGTCGTTCTGAAGGTCGTCGTTGTGTGTTGGCGTTGCGACCCGACCCATCGCACCGATTCACTGACGCGCCACGCGTGCCACGGGCTGATGTCTACAATCCGGTTACTGAATTGGTAATTGCACCGCTGTATCATCGCATTCGGCACTAATCCGTGCTCGACACTCACTCACGTCATCGATTCGTGCCATTAACGGTCTCCAGCAGCACTGCCATGCCTGCGTAACGAACCGGATCCCTGTCAAGTGATTCGCAAAACCACACCTGAAAACGGCTCTCATCTTTTCTCAGCATATGCACTTCCTGGCTGTTCACACTTGCACTATGGCTTCTATTGTTTTTAGTTCTCCCATATGTCTCTTTTCCTGATCATAGTTCCGACGCCATTCAGCAATATGTGCACTTCCTCCAACATACCCCTTCTTTTACCCAAGAGATCCAGCTTCCGAGCTCAACAAAAGTCGTGCTTAGACCGTCCAACTCAGTTCCACTGATTATGTTCACCTTCCTTACTTCAATCTGCCAGGCGTTGATTCCGAAAATTCGTTGGCGCTATCGCAAGATAAGGGGCTCTTCTGGAGACGAAGCCAAGAGGGCAGAAATTTAGGGAGAATGAACATTCCTCATGCGTCATGGAGTCTCTCTTCCCTCGTCTGAGACCTCAGCCTCGATTGCAACAAAAGATGTTTTACGCGGTTTTGAATTCCTTGCCGCCACATGCCCCCGTATCTTGCGATAGCTCCAAAACGTTTCATCCTCACCAGCTTTTGACTGAGAGCTTTCCCAGAGCGCCCTTCGCGTTTTCGCTTTCTCGTCAACCAAAGCTCCTAAGAAATCCAGTTAAGTGAAAAGTCGGGCACGTGAGAAGGAATTTTGGCGAGTAAAAGTCGCCAACCAGCCGTGCCGAATGGCCCACGTAGGGCTAGATTAGTTCGATATGCGAGTGGATTGGTTTCCCGGTTAGAAGTTATTGAAAAACGGCCGACAGCTGTGATTGTTCACCTGTTTGCTCATCGTGGATGGCTTATTTCTAACCGTTTTTGTTAGCTTTCGAAAGTTTTGCACGGCCGATTTGAATATCATTTTCACACGGGCGAATTTCATTTTCCGCTCAAATCCTCTATTCTCCTGAAATCGCTCAGTTACTACGGGAACCGGTTCGGAGGATAGCAACAACCACTTTTATTATATCGCAAGTCATTTAGTAGGCCAAATCGCTTTTTTTCGCTCCTGCGATTTCGATCGGATATGAAGTGCATGGCGCATCCCGGAAAAGGATTTGGTTCGGTTTTAGTTTGATATTGTTTCCTCTAGCTTTTATCCTACATATGAAAGGAAGCGGTGATATCAGAATGAGGTTGACCTCCCCTACCAGCCCCTTCCTTCCTCTCCCTTACCCTACGAGGAATTACCCCGTATGATTTACTTAGCCACCAACTGTCCGGCGTGATTGTTTGCTTGTTGTGCTTGTTGACGAGGTTCCAATAATGAGTGGTCGTGGTCGGCCAGCCGTCCGGGCCAATTGGCCATCGCCGCCATGGTGCAGTAGCGACACGACGGGGGAATCATTAGGCCACCCGGGCCAATGAATTACGCGGTCCCAGCGGTCTAATGTGACGCGACATAATACCGCACTCATTCATCGTTGTCCTAGTGTCGTTCATCACAACTTCTGACGCGATAATGGAGTAGATATTTCACCAGTGGGATTTGTCTCGCCCATTACACACACAGCGC